AAAAAAAAAAAAAAAAAAAAAAAAAACCAGGTAACAGAGACTGGGAAAAACAGAGAACATGGAAAATGGCAAGGGAGCAGAACATTTAAAAAAGAGAAAAATCACATGTCCTGTAAGCAAGAGTTGGTAGAACAGGCAGGGGGCTGTTATTCCTGGGATGCCAGAGAAGTGGATCTGTGGTTCCTGAAGTTCAGTGTGCCTCATCTGCAGAGGCTGTTTTACATGCAGATCCCCAGGTCCATCCCAGATGGCCTGATTCAGCAAGTCACCCCCAGTGACTCTGGTGCAAGGGGTCTCAGAACCACCCTTGAGAAATGTTGAGTGGTACTTTTCAAAGGATTAGAGCTGCCTTACTGGGCTTTCTGTGGAGGGCAGTGATCTCCCCACCTTCGGGTGCACACAAGAAAGGCAGGGCTACCCTTCTTGTTCTCTATTTCTCCAACACTCTGAAGTTCAAACAGAAACAAGACTGCTTTAGGAGCTCAAGACCCAAGTGGGGAAAGGTTGTGAGCTCCTTTCAATGTCTACCTCTTACTCTGGGCCTCACTCTTTAAACTAGAGGCCACATATCTTATCTCCAGAGAAAAGAAGGGAGAATACAAGGGTCAAATTATCCTTCTCTGCCTCTTCCATTACAACTGAGCTTTTAGAGACTAGACTCTGGATCAGTGGGAATGCCTACAAGATACTTTCTGGGCTGGAAGATAAGAGAATATACTACCCTCTCATCGAAGCCTTCAAATTCCTCCAGCTTCCATGCATCTCCCTCCTCTGAGGATCCATAACACTTGGGCTAAGTTGGTACCAATCAGCACCTGGGGTTTTATGTGGCTTGAGAAGAACTCAGACATATCTAAAAATTTCTACTTTAACAGGGTGCTCAAGAATTCCCAAAGCACCTTCACACCAACCATCCATTTAATGTCGGTAATCTCATGGAGGTGATGATGTGTCAGATAGAGAGACTGGGGATCCAAGAGGCTGGGCTGGAGAAAGGGCAGAGCTGGAGGAGAATGCAGGTCTCTGCCTCCCTCTTCCTTCCATGTCCTCATTCCCCCAGGAAAGCTGTGGCTTGGAGAGATGGGGGTGGGGCACTCCACCTCATCAAGGCTGGAGCTAGGACCAGGAGGGAGCGGGTTGTTATGGTGGCAAGTGGATGGAGCAGTGTGTTTGTTAAGCAGAGGGCCTTGTCTCAGCAGCAAGGGGAAGAGGTAACCAGCTGGGATAGAAACCAGGGAGAAAGAGGAGGCAGCAAGACAGAGTGGGGACAGTACGGATTTGGGCGTCAGGAAACCTGGAACATATGTGTGTGACCTGGAGCAAGACTCGGCTTCTCCACAGGTGAAGATGGCCTCAGTCTCCTCATCTATACATTGAGGAGGTTAAATCACTGGTCTCCAATGTACCTCCCCGCTCTAACACGGCCTTATGCATCACTGGATCCCTCCTTGAGTCTCCACCAGCCACTATCAGCAGAAGGCCGAACAATAAGCGTCAATGTGACCCAAAGACCACAGAAATTCCCTCGACTTTGAGGATAACTCTGGTGCTGTCCTCTTCCACCTCCCACCCACCACAGCCAGAAAGTTTCCTAGAAGCCTCAAAATTCTCAGGCCACAGTAGATGACAGACAATACTGCAGAAAGCCACAGTGACAAAAACTGACCAGAAGATGGAGCCAAATACCCTGGAATCCGAAAGAGTTTTATTTGTAGGGTTTTTAATTCTAGGACTACAGTGCAGAAACTAAAGCCACAAAGGCATTAACATGTGCTCAAGGTCTCCCATCTGCTCAGGGGCAGGGCTGGGAACCAGAACCCATCTCCCACCCCTGGGACCAGACAGTATTTTTTACCCTACTCTACTCTGCTGATGCTACAGGATTGTGGTCAAGCTGAGTTCATTCCAGAATGCTCTGACCTAGTTACAGCTCATTTGTATTAGGTTGATGGGGACTGGGAAAGGGGGCCATCGGTGAGAAGAGTCAGCTTAGCCAATCAGAACACTTGGGTTCCTGTAACTGGCTTCACACACCCCAAGTCCTTCCCTGGCTCTTCATAAAACTGCAGCTCTGAGATAATGGCTCAAAATCACCTGCCTGCATGGAGGACCCTGAGCAAGACACGCTGGACCTGGAAGTGAACCAGTTGGGAGTGTGGATGTGCAACAGAGTCAAACCGCCATATCCGAAGCTCTCCTCTCCACTCACCTACCCCACAGCTGTGTTGACTTCAGGCAAGTCTCTTAAGCTCGCCAAACCTATTGGCTCATCTAATAAGGTAGATGATGAAACCACAGACTTGTTGGGTTGTTTTGAGGTTACATTAAATAATTGAGATTAAAGCTCTAAGCATCATGACTGTCATATAGTAGGTGCTCAATAAATATTGGTGTTTGGTTGTTACTGCGCTGTATCAAAATGACCTAAATGAAGTGAGAAAACAAAAATGAACACAAAAGTCGTGGCTGGTGTAAGCGGACAGTTTTGTTGTGTAACCATTCCTCCTTCACTCCCTCTTCCCCAACACTGCCCCTTCTCCAATCCCTCCTGAGCTCCAGCCACCCTGTCAATGGTTCTGGCAGTGAATTAAAGCATTTCTTCTTTTTCTTGGTGATCACTTTCTGCTTTTGTGTGACAAGCAGAAAAAAAAAAACAAACTTTACCAAGATGAGGCAGGAGGGAACTGGTGGAGGTTACATGGCCAAGGCATGTGGGGATTCCCACGGAGTTTACTCTTCAGCTTCCCCTTCTCTCTCTGCTGAGCCCTCTTTTAATCATCTTTGCCAAACCCTGGAGGGAATGGTGGAGAGAAAACAGGCTCAGGTGAGAGGCTGGCTTGATGACATGACCTGCAGTGATCAGGATCTGCTTCCTCCTTGTCTACCTTTCATCCTCCCTCCCCTCCCTCTTATACGTGTATGGTTTGTTAGTTTTCAGCTTTCTGAAAGCACTTTCATATCTGTCATATTATTCCATTAGAGCCTCCCTGCCATTTTCCAACGTGAGCAGGGAAGGGATTATGAACCCATTTTATAGAAGAAGAAACTGAGGTTCACAGAAGGAAAATGACATTTCTAAAATGATACAAGAAAATCGGTGCTATGGTGAGACCAGAACCTCAGACTCCTTCCTTTCAGGCCTGCCAAGTAGGGCAGCACTGTGAATGAGGGAAACATACCAGTTCCCACATCAACACTGACATCCCAGGAAAAACCCAGAGCCCCTGCTAAGCACTGCACAGCCTGGGGTCAGCCTTTGGGGCTCCTGTCGGCTATTGGAATGGATGTGTGGCCACCTGATACAATGTAATGACACGAGAATAACCACCTATGATGCATGTACGTGTGACATGCACAAGCTAGTGCACCTGAAATTCAACAATTTACAGATGTAAGCTCCCCAGTGACCATTTATTTCTGCTCATAGCTGATGTGCCCTTTGACCCCAGTATTGTTTATCTGTGGCTCCAGACTACCTGACAGACAACATTTTCTGTAGCTCTTAATCCAGATTTCTGGCAATTCTGGAGATAGTTTCCTGCTGATAAGGCCCCTTCTCCCACTGCACCCCAACTCACAGCCCCCTGGAGGACATGCCTAGGATACAGAGAAAAAAAACTCATCTAAGCAGGAACCCAGGAACTCACACTTTAGGACAGAATCCATCTCAGCTGAGATGTATTGCTTCTGTGCACATCAACATGAGAACAAAGAATAACAGCACCTGACATCTTCCTGGGACGTTCTAATATAGACAGCTGGTTTATGAACATTATTTTACCTGAGGAGCACATCAGCCCTATGAGATAAACATTGTTAGCTCACTTGATAAATGAAGAAATGGAGGCTCAGAGAGATTAATTTCCCAAGTACTCACAGGGAGTCAGTGTCCACACAGAGTTCTTCAAATATCCCCCTATATAAGAGAGAGATGGGTCAAGCCTAGGGTAGGGGACAGAATCAAGCCCCTTTGAAGCTGCATATGCCTCCTTGTTCTCTTATCCTATGTCTCCCTCATCAATGCTGCAGCCTCAAAGAGCACACAAGCCTGAAGGGACCCCTCCACAGGGAGGGCTTCACATGGTGCTCCTCAGACAGACTCCCCCCCAGGGAGGATCCCTCCAGCCCAGGGAGCACAGGCTCCAGGGACCCGCAGCCCTGTCACCTTGTTTCGGAGCAGGAATGACAGCCATCTAAAGCCTACATCTCCATTCCTCATTAATCCACCCAGCCCTGAACTCCACAAGCACAGCTCTGTGGGATGTGTTCCTTCTCAGCAAGAGTGTTCCTTCTCAGCCTGGATTGTTTTATTCTTTCCTAAGAACCCTGACACCTTCCCCCTACCACCCTCGACAAAAAAACTTGCCCAGAGCAGACAGCACAGGGCATTAAAAAATGGGACTGCAGATGATGAGGACTGGAAGGATGATTGTATAAGGGAAAACTGAAGCCCAAGAGGGCAGAGAGGTGCTCAAAATCCTTCAGGGAGTTAGAGAACTCAAGGAAGAACCCAGGTCCCACACTTGGCCATGCATCTGCTCAGCCCCCTGGCATCCCTGGAGCGTGGGAATCAGTTTCCACAGCCCCCTTGACTTTCCCAATTACTCCTTTCCTCCTCCACAGGAAGTCTGCCCTCTGATCTGAAGACCACTCAGCCTGAGTTTAAAAGGAGGCATCCATACCAAGTGAAAAGGTGAGATAAGGCTCAGTGCAGTGGCTCACACCTGTAATCCCATCACTGGGAGGCCAACGTGGACAGATCACTTGAATCCAGGAGTTTGAAACCAGCCTGGGTGACAGGGTAAAACCCCATCTCTCCAAAAAATACAAAAATTAGCCCATCGCAGTAGTGCATGCCTATAGTCCCAGCTACTCAGGAGGCTGAGGTGAGAGGATGGCTTGAGCCCAGGAGGTCCAGGCTGCAGTGAGCAGAGGTGGTATCAAAGCACTCCAGTCTAAGCAGCAGAGTGAGACCTCATCTCAAAAAAAAAAGAAAGGGAGATGAGTTTCTCACAGCACAGCCAACTCAGAGGTATAGGTGCTCTCTTCTACCTCGCCTTTGACTCACAAACTCTCATGGTGTGTAAATATCAAGTCCCACTGCCCATCCAAGGGTAGAGGAATTGACATTTTCTATGTGGCCCTAGTGGGTAGGATTAGGGCCAGCAGGTGGAATTTATATAGAGGCAGATTCCAGCTCTATATAAAATATAACTTTATTATAGTCAGACATATTCAAAAAGGGAATAGGCTGTCTCCCAAAGCAGTGAGCTCCCCAACACTAGAAGTAACCAACTGCTGGGGATGTAATAAAACAGTTTCTCAAAGTATAACTTCCTTGCATTAGCATGTCCTAGGCAGATTCTTAAAGAGGCAGATTCCTGGGACCCACCCAAGATCCTAAATTAGACTAAGTATGGGCCTACGAACACACCTTTTTAAGCTCTTAGGTGATTCCCATGTAGGATTCTGATCCACAAATGAATGTTGGAGAATGTCTGTTCTAAAAGAATATTGGATGGAATTTGTTCCCTTCCATCTCTCAAATTCTATGACTCTCTCATTCTGTGAAATACTCATCTTCCCTGGATATTTGCATTGTATAAGGGACATCACAAAGACAAATTACTTTTGAAGCCACAAATCCATCATGGAAGACTGTTGACAAAGGAGCTATTGGGGGCAGGCAACCACAAAAGCAGCCATTAATTCTCCCTGTTCCTATACCTGAAGTGGCAGCCCTGTCACAGATCCCTGGCTGCTTATGACTCAGTGGTCCCATCCAATATCATCTCAATCTCATGCATCCAAGGCCCAAATTCCTTAGTCATGGCAGGAACCAAGGAAGAGAGAAAAATACCCACTTAACCATTCTGGAGCACAACCTGCTTTCTCTGCTAGCCCACTAGATACTTTCTGGGGTTCTCTAGAAGGATGTTATATTCTCTATCCTTCCTGTTTTCAGCCCTGAAGCGGAAAAACTGGTTGTACAAATGTCCCCTGCATCACACTCACATCATGACAAATGTTTCCAGCCAAAGCCTGGAGCTTAACCTTAAACCCCACCCCAACCTCAGCCCTTCTGATCTCCCTGTCAGCTTCAGGGAGCTTCCATAAATTGTGGAGACAGATCCAGTAATGCAACTTCTGGGAAATAATCACTTATATGTTCAAAGATGTACGTAAAATGGTATCAACTAGAGCATTATCAAAGTAATAGAGATAACAGAATAATATTAGCTAATACATATATGGCAATTACTCATTTTATTTCCTAAATACTATTTATATGTTAATTTATTTAATCCTCAGAAAACCTATGAGCTGGGTGCTAATATTCTGAGTTTATAGGCAAAGACATTGAGGCTCCAAGAGGTGAACTAGTTGCTCAGGCTCACACATCTAACCTAGATTTACACCCAAAACAGTTTGCCTCTAAAGCACATCCTCTTAAGAACTTGGTACATTTCACTTTAGTAACTGAAAAATAATTAGAAACCATTTGCATGTCCTACAGAAGGACTGGTCAAATAAATTAGAACTTCTCTAAAATGAAATATAAAGCTATTAAAAATAAGGTTAAAAATATTATTGTACTATTAGACAACATGCTCATAATGTTTGGTAATGTAAGAAACAGAGGGAATAAAACTATATTTCATATGAATAAATTTTGAATAAACGTGCATATGAAAGAAAAAATACTCTGGGGAGGTTCTTGGCAGGGAAGGCTTTCTGGAGGAGGCTGGTATTGAACCAGGGTTTGGAAAGCTACGTTAGGGGCTGGGGCACTGGCTGCAGTCCCTGACAGATGCTATGGCCACTCAGAATTACCCAGTATCAAAATCCAGACTAGGTCCTCAGCTTGAGTTGCTCAGCACTGACTGAGAGTCTAGAAATCACCATTCAGTTCTGACTCCGTTACTAAGTACAGATTGAATGTAGCCAAGGCCCATTCCCTCTCTGGGTCTGTTTTCCCATTTGTACAAAGACAATAATACCTTCCCTGCCTCTTCCTTGAGCCAGGCTGGAGGTGCAAATCTCAAGTGAAGGCTTGAGCTGAGATTCCTAAGGTGACCAATGAGTGAACAACATTGACTCTCTCTACCAACCGTTTACTGAGTCCTTACTATGGACCAGAGACTGTGCTTAATGTTTTGCAGGAATATTCAGGTCTGCCTTCATGGATATGCAACCAGTTCAGGCACTCAACACCACACTTAGAAAGGCCAACATTTGGAGGTTTAATCCCTGTGGTCCCATCTTGAAGCGTTTAATAATTTTATCTTTGAATTCCTACTTGGTAACGGAAGTCCAATGGGACAATGAAACACGTGCTGAGACATGGAGCCTCAGTTCCCCCGTGGCCCAGTGCACTTAGGTAGGGCCCAGGTACCTACAAGTACCTGCACTTACCTGGCAACTATCCCCACACCTGAGGGAGCAAAACATTAAATAGCAAATAAAAACACAATGGCAGACCAATGACACTGCGGACAAAAGGAAAAAGCTTTTTCTTTTTTTTTTAGACAAGTTCTCATTCTATCACCCAGGATGGAGTGCAGTGGCACCATCACGGCTCACTACAGCCTGGACTTCCCTGTACTCAAGGGAGTCTCCCATCTCAGCATCCCCCCCCGCCACACCCAGTAGCTGGGACTATAGGCATGCATTACCATGCCCAGGTAATTTCTGTATTTTTTGTAGCATCGGGGTTTCACCATGTTGCCTAGGCTGATCTCAGACACCAGAGCCCAAGCAATCCACCCATCTCAGCCTTCCAAAGTGCTGGGATTATAGGCATGAGCCACCAGACCCAGCCTTCTTTTCTTTTTGAATTAGAAACTCCATATTTTCATTTTGCACTGGGGCCTACAAATTGAGTAGCCAGCCATAACATTCCTGTAAGGTATGTGTTCATTTTATTCCATTTTATAAGTGAAGAAGTACAGCTTTGATAGTATGTTGCCCAAGGTAACACAGCTGGCAGTAGTTTACCCAGAATTTGAACCCAGGTCACTTTGATCCCAGAGTTCTTGATCTTAACACTGTACTATATATAGAAAGTCAGGCAACTGCACATGTGAGAAGCCCCTCCAGAGCCCTATAACCACAATCAAGGCCATTGCTATTCACATCAGGGGCAGGTTCTCACCTGGGTGAAGAAGACAAAGCCCTCACACCAGGAAGTATCTTTTCTGTCTGCTGAGAAATTATTGTGTGATCCACTAAAATGAGAGTTTCATCTGCTGTGTGAGATTCCACTCTATGAAGGAAGCTGAGTGGGCCTCATAAAAAAACCCACAAGGTGCCCATTTCACCACTTTGGTCCCTCTCTTGACTCCTGGGGACCTCAGTTGCCTCATGTTAAAATAGCAGTGGAACTGCTTACGTGGAAGTTCTTTATAAATCTGGTACAAATCAAAAGTGGTACCACTGCTATTAGATGCCATCTGACCTTGCCTGTATCAGCAGGAATTCACCAGAAGCTGGCTGTTTTCACTGTATTATTTGTCTATGCACGAGCGAATGCGCTGGGTATGGAAATATGAGTGGCTGCATCTTCTTTGAGGAGAAGCCTAGTGATCACAGGAATATCATTTGGCCTCCAAACGCTTTGTTCAGGATCCCTTCCTGCCATTCTCTAAATCAAATATGTGAGCAAAACTCTGTTCACAAAGTCGGGGAGGTGGGGGAGAAAAAAGGATAGGACCCAACCAGTAGTTCTGACTCTAGAATGAAGGAAATAACCATAATACTGCAGCTGAAACTGACTGCGTGGCTAGAATGAGGCTTGGTCATGGGCTTACTTCACCCGACAAGCACACTCCCCCTCACACTCCCAACCCAGAAATCCAAATGAGGATTCCTTAACTAGGAAACGTGATGACGGTAGGGGACTGCAAAGGGTGGGAGAAGCAGATTCTATACTGGTACCATGTTCCAAGGGCTTTATCATCTTAATCCTCACTCTGGGAAGCAGGTATTACTATTTACATTTTTTAAAAGTGGAGAACACAGCCTCAGATTGGTCATCATTAACCCATGGATTAAAGACTTAAACATAAGACCTAACACCATAAAAACCTTAGAAGAAAACCTAGGCAAAACCATTCAGGACATAGGCATAGGCAAGGACTTCATGACCAAAACACCAAAAGCATTGGCAACAAAAGCCAAAATAGACAAATGGGATTTAATTAAACTCCACAGCTTCTGCACAGCAAAATAAACAGTCAGTCGTTAGAGTGAACCAGCAACCAACAGAATGGTAAAACATTTTTGCAATCTACCCACCTAACAAAGGACTTAATATCCAAAATCTATAAGGAACTAAAACAGATTTACAAGAAAAAAAAAACCCCATTCAAAAGTGGGCAAAGGATATGAACAGACACTTTTCAAAAGAAGACATATTTGAGGCAAAGAAACATATGAAAAAATGCTCATCATCACTGGTCATCAGAGAAATGCAAATCAAAACCACACTGAGATACCATCTCACGCCAGTTAGAATGGAGATCATTAAAAAATCTGGAGACAACAGATGCTGGAGAGGATGTGGAGAAATAGGAACACTTTTACACTGTTGGTGGGAGTGTAAATTAGTTCAACCATTGTGGAAGACAGTGTGGTGATTCCTCAAGGACCTAGAAATAGAAATTCCATTTGACCCAACAATCCCATTACTGGGTATATATCCAAAGGATTATAAATTTTTCTGTTATAAGGATACATGCACGCGAATGTTCACTGCAGCACTGTTTACAATAGCAAAGACCTGGAACTAACCCAAATGCCCATCGATGATAGGCTGGACAGGGAAAATGTGGCACATATACACCATGGAATATTATGCAGCCATAAAAAACTATGAGTTCATGTCCTTTGTAGGGACATGGATGAACCTGGAAACCATCATTCTCAGCAAACCTACACAGGAACAGAGAATCAAGCACCGCATGTTCCCACTCATAGGCGGGTGTTGAACAATGAGAACACCTGGACACAGGGAGGAGATCATCACAGACAGAGGTCTGTTGGAGGGGACTAGGGGAGGGACGGTGGGGGATAGGGAGTTGGGGAGGGATAACATGGGGAGAAATGCCAGATATAGGTGATGGGGATGGAGGCAGGAAACCACATTGCCATGTATGTACCTATGCAACAATCCTGCATGTTCTTTACATGTACCCCAGAACCTGAAATACAATATATATATATATATATATATATATATATATATGAAAGAAAATGAAAAAAAACGAATATCTCTTAACAATTTTAGTCCTCACCACCAGGCCTTATTCTCCATAAAGTACTTCCATATACATTATCTTAAGAGGTGTATAAGATATCACAAGGCAAACAGAAGAGTATGTTATTATTCTCATTTATGGATTAGGAAACTGAGGCACTGAAAGAAAAGTTAAAAGACTAAGGCAAGAAGCCCACCTTCTCCACTCTCATCCTTCAGGAGGTCCCAGAGCCATACAATTAAAACAGAAACAAATCTGCCTGGCAGAATATGAGGAAGTCTTTGGGGTCTCAGAATATGCTCTGCCATCTTATAGTCTGAAACAATTATAGCTAACATTGATATAGTGCTCCCTCAATGGAGTTCATTGCCTTATCCAACCCTGTGAAGTGGGTACCATCCCATTTTACCAATTGTTAAACTGAGGTGCAGAGAGATTGGCTAAGCAGGACACACAGGCAATGAACAGTGGAACCGGGACTTGAACTGAGGCTCTCTGGCTCCAGTGCTCACTCTTGCTCTTAAACCTATATGCTGTCCTGCTTCCTAAGTGGAAACGAACAGGAAAAAGCTTACAAGCTGAAGTGGATTTTAAATGATCACTCACAGCTAATGGGGCTGCCTATGCTAGGTGGCAATGGTCCCTTACCCAGTTCCATTTGGGGGACCATGGAGCCTTGAAAATATAGAAGAAGTAAGAACCACCCAAAGTCTCCTCCTTCAATCCCAAGGAACTACAAGATGCAGGAAAAAATTAAAACTTCAGCAATATTCATTATTTTTTAATTTGTTGTCGTGTTTGTTGATTCTCTGTCCTCTTAATTTGGGTCTTGGCATCTCTTTCCCACCTTTCACCTTTGGTGCATCCTGTCCTGGTTTCCTTCCTATGGCTTCTTAACAGGACCAGTTGCCTTTCCAGGTGGGCTCTTCGTGAACTTGACTGAGCCAGCTCACAGATATTTTGTCTTCCAACTTCCCTATTTTAGATAATGAAGAGACAGGCATGCATTCAATGAATGGGACCTTTTATAGACCCTAAGCTCTACCGGAAAGAGCGGGCTTATTTTTCACATCGAATCAGGATATAACAGGATATCCTAAAAGTCACATCTCTTCAAAGGGTGACAAATCATTCTGTTACGCTGTCTGTGCTGGCTGCCTCTATCCCTCAACCTGCCCACGTTTGTCTTCTTCCCTGTAGGGCAAGATTGGCAGTTCTTAAATTATTTCTTTACTGTCTCCTGCTAAGTTCAGGTCAGAATTAGCTAACTGGGTCAACATCACTCAAGAATCCAAACCCCTTGGCTCAGTCTCTTCTTTTCATGGCTAAGAACTGAGAAGCAGTTAGTGCAGTGGTTATGTACACAGGCAGAACAGGGGTTCAATCCACTCTACCACCCTCGCACCACATTACCTCAGGCTGATGTATTAACTCCTGCAGGCTACAGTGCCTTCATCTGTAGACAGAGATGAGAGTAGCTCCATCTTTGTGGGACTATTGTGAAGATAAATAGGATACTGTGTTTACAGCCTTCAGCACAGTGGCCCGGCATGTAGTAACTACTCAGTTGATATTAGCTGTTAACATGATTAATAGAAAGTATCTCAGTACAAATCCTGTGAGGTAGGGGTCAGGTCAGAATTAGTATCCAGCTGTCTTGGGCAGGCTTCATTTAATTTGTAGAGTTTCCTTCTTCTGTTTAATGCAGCATATGGCATTAATGATGCTGGGAACAGAATTCCATAACCTTTTCTACTAAATTGGTGGATTTCAATGAAGAATGATAGAATCCCTCAGGAAAACTTCTCAAACTCCTGCACTCCTATCATCCCACTTTGGTTCCCAATGTACCTGCTTTTTGAGAGGAGCCAGTCTGAGCCACACTTGCCACCATTCCTATTTCTGAGGGCTCATGATAGGGACACTTACATGGGCCAGAGGACCCACTAGGTCTTTGTTTCCACTCCCGGGGAGTGGGCCACATTGCTTGCTTTTGGCTCCCTGGCATAAAAGCCCTTCTCTTCCTTAAAAAATAATTAAAATATTTATTGAGATAATTGTAGATTCATGTGCAATTGTTAGAAACAGAGAAATTCTGTGTACCTTTTATCCAATTTCTCCCCATAACAGCTTGCAAAACTAAGTATCCTTTCATAACCAGTATACTGATATTGATATAATCCACCTGTCTTCCTCTGATTCCTCAGTGTTCTTACATGCATGCACACACGCATTTAGTTCTATACATTTTATCATGTGTAGGTTCATGTGTCCACTACCACCGCCAGTCAAGATACTCCATCACCACAAGGATCCCTCCTGTTGCCCTTTTAAAACAACACGTATCCTACCTCCTCCCCTATCCCTAACACCTGGCAATTATTAATCTGTTCTCCATTACTAAAATTTTTGTCACTTTAATATCATATAGAATTATACCATATGTAATCTTTTAGGATTGGATCTTTTCACTCAGTATAATTCCCTGGAGATTCACCCAAGTTTTTGCATGTGTTGATGGTTTATTACTTTTCATTGCTGAGAACAATCCACAGTATAGATGTACCACAGTTTGTTTAATTTGCCAGCTGAAACACATCTGTGTTGGTTCCAGCTTGGGGCTCTTACAAATAAAGCATTTTTTACAAAAGTATCCTCTACTTATTACAAATAAAGCCACTAGGAACATTGGTGTACTCCTCTTTCCTTTCTGATCACAAATTGATAGATGCTCCTACCTGACTGAAGCCCTTGCTCCTGCTGCGGCAGGCATAACTTGTCACCACACTATCCTTTCTATACCAACTCCTAGTGACTGTACATACTCTGTCCAGATGCTCCCTGCAGACATTCATCTCTAAGTAGGCACCTCTCATTCCTTTCCCCTTAAAGAAACACAACAGAACAAGCATGAGTTAGGGAACCAGACAACCTAGGCTCATACTGCAAGGGTTCTGCCAGGTATAGTTGTAAAATCTTGAGCAAGTCACTTAGCCTTCTGAATCTTTCATGCTCATCATAATAAAGTAATTAATCATTGTTGAGGTCACTTAGCCTTCTGAATCTTTCATACTCATCATAATAAAGTAATTAATCATTGTTGAGGTTTCTTTACCAACAGTGTATAGTGACAGTGCAATGAAATGGTGAAATGCAGAAACTCTGCTACCAAGCTGCCTGACTTTAAATCCTGGCTCTACCATTTGTCAGCTCTGTGACCCCAGGTAATTTATTTAACCTCTCTGTGCCTCAATGTTTCCATTTATAAATGGGCATGTCAACAGTACCTGTCCCATGGGGTTGTTGTGAGAACTGAATTAGTACATATAACTAATACATGTAATGCATGTTCAGAACAATGCCTGGCAAAGTGCTTGAGTTGATGAGCATAAGCTCATCTTGTTATGTGGCAGGCACTGTTCTAAGCACTTTAGGTAGACCATTTTGTTTAACCATATCAATAACTGTAACGCAAGTGTTGTTATGAGACTGATTTTACAAATAACAAAATTGAATTAAGGGAGTAAGTCACTTGCTCATAGTCATAGGCCTGGAAGATGAGGGAGCTGAGATTCCTTTTTAAGCCTGTCTTTGTTCTTAACTTCTACACCCTCCTTGCAGCCCATAAACTGGGGGTGTCATTGCCTGGCCTTACAGAGCAGTTTTGAGGATTACAGAGAAAAATGTGTCCCATGGTGCTTGGTATTCAAACTGCTCCACACGTTAGTTTGCCCTTTTAACTACCAGTGGCCAATGTACAGTAGATGATTCTGTAGTTCCATACGCAGCAGAAATTGGCCCCTTAAGACATAACTCACTAAAACAAAGGTAGCAATTTGAAGGTATTGACAGATGCATCTGCAAACATTTGCAATGCTTACCTAACTCAACAATCACAACCAGATTTGGGACAAGTTCATCCAACTCAGCCCACAATTCGTTACAACAAAGCAGCTGTCTCACTTCTTTTTGTTGCAGGACAAGCAAGACCCAAAACTGCCCAGGAATATTTTTGGCTTTGCCCAGGAAAGATGACTCTTGAAGAAGCCCTTGGCCCTGCAGCTTTGATCACTGTTTGAGTTTGCCTCTCCACCAAGCTCTATTGCCACTGTCTCCACTGTCTTATTTCTTCGTTGGTCACTGCCTCTTGATTGCTCTATTCATCCCTTTGTGGTTGCCAGATGTTGCAAGACAAGCAAGCCCCAAAATTAGGGCTTAGCCCAGGAGGGATTTTGGCTTCACCCAGGAAAGAATTCAAGGGTGAGCCAGTGGTGTTAGACAACGATCTTTTATTGAATGGTTCTGCTCCTTTCAGGGCAGAGTTCATAGGCAGTGCACCCAGCTTCCCTCTAAAACCACTTGTAGAAAGGTACACCTCAAACTTCAACTAGACTTACCCTCCACAGAGGTCTGCTCCTATCCTAGCTGAGCAACTAGATTTTTAATAATTTTGGAACTCACTTACTACATGGTTAACGTACCTCTTCTATAGAGTACATTCCCTGTGAGATTTGTTCTCATTATTCTGCCCCTCTTTAAGCACTGTGAAGCTAAAACATTCTCTTTCCATGGCAATAACCTATGTGATTTGTAAAATCATACTTTATCTATTTCCACTATACACAACAGCTTTAGAACTAGCTGGAGAGCACAGAATGGCTAATGTATACAGAAAGAGACAAAGGTGGTACTGACAAGTAGAAACAGATGATGGTTTCACTCAATTTGCAGTTTCTGTAACTGCTCTTATAAGGGTAGGCCAGTCAGATTCTCAAATGTCTGGAAAGTTCAACATTGACTTGTGAGGGTGAAATGATGGCTATAATCTACCTTCCTTTGCTTTTAGCTCAAAGGACAAATGAGTTAAGAGAATATTGAGGGTTTTTTTTAATTGACTTTAGGACTCGATTGGGTAAATGATAATTAAACATGAAGGGCCTTTCAGATTTGGCTAGACGACAAATAGCAGGGAATGATGGGCCTCAAGTTAGGTAGGGAGGAACGAATGAACCAGTGCTTGAGGAACATCAAGGATACAGTCAGAAAGTCAAACCAGTGGACAAGTTTTCAAAATTCTCCTCATATAGTTGCCAGAGGTCTTTATGACATGTTAACTAAGAAGCTTATTATTTTTAGAATTTCCTCATTTCTCAAATATCTTTTAAGTCTTTTATGAAAAGAGACATCATGTTGTTTAAAAGATAATAAAAGATCTTAGTCTCTGACATCTGTGAAATATCGCACTTGTTGAGTGCCCACTGTGGGTACAATTTTATTCTGGGTTTTTCTAACCTGAAGAATTCCAGTTTAAAATTCAGAACACTTCTAGAAATAAAATAAAATAAAAAAAAAAAGGCTATTTCTCAGGTGGAGACATCAATAGCAACTACCTATAAAATAGCTCTCCCACAAAAAGGTCTTTCATTAACAACAAGTACAAAAGATAGCATCTTCTTTCGGCATTAGGAAACCATGAGATCTTGTTATTTGATAATAGGATTGAAAAATTCATGTTTGTACGCCTAGCACTGATTTCAGATTCGTAGTAATGCCATCTATACAAATTACAATTTCACATTTCAGAGGCCTGTCAACCTGGATATCTATGCTTTAAAAAAAAAAAAAAAACTATCAAAAGCAAGTAAGGAAAATATAGCTTGTCTTTAATACATTTCTAAGATATTATGTAAAGGAAAATAAAAATTGTTTCATAGAGGTTTCTACTTATTTTAGATCAAATTAATAAAGTTTCTCCTAATCACAGCCTTTAAGAAACTCAATAGTAGGAAAATAAGCATTTACCCTAGTAACACCTGAATATTTTACCTATTAAGGTGTTAAGTGAATTGGAAAGACATATATTAATTAGTAGTAAATCTTAGACACTAAAAATTTAAAAGGAAAATACTGCCAAAAGTGTAGCTGTTACCCAAAACTACAACACTGTAGCTACCCCAAATAAAATAATGAAGCACATACCATCCAAAAACCATCACCATAATCCAGTAGATTCTTGACTCTTAACAAAATTTTGCTACACAGTATCAGCTTGAATCAGTCCATTATATTGCTTTTCTCTGGGCCCACTAGAAATGCAATTTATGGTACTAGGCCACCTTTCCAGTGCTCTGCAAACGATGGCACAGCATCCAACCAGGTGAGGTGAGGTAAGGTCAAACTCCACCTTCTTTTTTTTTTTTTTTTTTTAGACACAGTCTTGCTTTGTCGCCCAGACTGGAGTACGATTGAACAATCTCGGCCCACTGCAATCTCCTCCTCCCGAGTTCAAGCGATTCTCCTGCCTCAGCCTCCCAAGTAGCTGGAACTACAGGCACCCACCACCATGCCAGCTAATTTTTGTATTTTTTTTCTTTTGAGATGATGTCTCCCTCTGTCACCAGGCTGGAGTGTAGAGGCAGGATCTCTGCTCACTGCAACCTCTGCCTCCCAGGTTCAAGTGATTCTCCTGCCTCAGCCTCCCAAGCAGCTGGGATTACAGGCCCCCGCCACCACAACCAGCTAATTTTTTGTATTGTTATTAGAGATGGGGTTTCACCATGTTAGCCAGGCGGGTCTCCAACTCCTGACCCCATGAGTCTGCCACCTTGGCCTCCCAAAGTGCTGTGATTACAAGTGTGAACCACTGCACCTGGCCAGGCCCCACCATTCTTACGGTAACCCTTAACTACCTTGCAACTTGGATCCTTCCTGAGAAGGGTGTGCCTTACTCATTTCCAAATTCTCCTCCTCTCCTCCTCCCACCTCTGCCCAGCCTTTGGCTTCCCTCTAAGAAGGTGCTGTTCGTAAGGGTCTGCAATGAATTTTCCTTCTTCCTGAGAAAATGACTTCCAAGTTGTGTGCCCCAGGAATGAAATGGGATAAGAAGAGAATGAGGTGGAGTAGGGCAAGAGTCCTTGGACTTAACTACCTGACTGCAACCAAAAATAAAATGAAAAGTAAAAACATCTGACCTGCAGCTTCCTTCCTGGAGCTGGACTGAGCCCCAGGTCCCTGATGGAGATTCCTGAGTTTCTAGACTTCCACCACTCGTTCTTGGAATGTTTTTTTGTTTTTGCTCTTTTTGAGATGGAGTTTTGCTCTTGTTGCCCATGCTGGAGTGCAATGGCTCGATCTCGGCTCACTGCAACCTCCACCTCCCAGGTTCAAGCGATTTTTCTGCTTCAGCCTCCCAAGTAGCTGGGATTACAGGCATGCGCCACCACGCCTGGCTAATTTCGTATTTTGAGTAGACATGGGGTTTCTCCATGTTGGTCATGCTCATCTCCAACTCCTGACCTCAGGTGATCTGCCAGCCTCAGTCTCCCAAAGTGCTGGGATTACAGGCGTGAGCCACCACATCCCACCAGTCCTTGGAATTTAATCATAGTTACAGTCAACAAATTCTTCTTGAGGGACAAGTACACTCCAGGAAACGGCTTTGAGGAAGCCAGTTTTAAAAAACAAAACTTAAAAGCATTAAAGTCTCTATAATAAAATAATGCAATTTCTATTATTTTATTAAATATAAAGCTGCATCAAGTTCCTAGAAGAGTAAACGAAAATAAACACACCACACCACTGCTTGCTTTGGCAATTACCTTTATGGTCTTGGGAGCCCAGACACCAATATTTATTTCCAGCACAAACCAAAGCACACTCAATACATGCACAAATTCAAACGATACGTCTTCCCTAATTGCTCTGGGAACTCTTGCTGCTTGAAGAATGCAAGAATTTCTAGATTATTCACCAGAAAAACAGAAGTTAGTCCCCCAGATGGAAATTTCAGATTTTTCTTTTGGTTTGGTTGTTTCTCCATTTTTGCAGAGACGGTGGGCACTTGCGGTCAGGCTGCTCTTGAACTCCTGACCTCAAGCGATCCCCCTGTCTCAGCCTCCCAAAGCCCTGGAATTACAGGCCTGAGTAGCCTCACCCAGCCCCCAGATTTTTCTACTTTACTCTAAACAGCCAAATGAAGAACTGGAAACCTGTGGATGGTGTTCTTACGCCTGTTTCTGTGTGACAGTTTAACAGTCTATAAGACGAAGTCACATGAAGGCACACATGGGCACACCCATCCCTGCCTCAATGAATCCCTTCTGATCCTTCCCATAGTCTGTCTTTCCTCATCCTTCTATCCTCACCTATCTCTTTTTCCTGGTAACTTTCTCTTAACAAATCACGATATAGAGGACTTTTTCATTTTCCATAGGCCCTGAATTTACTTTTGTCATCTCTTTTTGGTTAGAGAGAGAGAGAGAGAGAAGGAGAAAGAGAGAAAAACTCCCCACTTGTCCTGCTCCATTTCCCAGATCAGCTCAGGTCTCCCAGGAACTCTTCAGGAAGGAGCTCAGCCTACATTTAGAGCTTAAAAGGAGCTGAACCGCTATGAAAATGGCACAAGAAATCCTCACTGCTTCACAGCGCCCTTCCTTCCACAGTACTGTGTGGCCAAGAAGTACACTTCTGATGATTCTTTCCTGCTGGCTTCCGGTTTGATGATCCTTACGCTCTGGAATTCCTCTGTCAGTCTCCTCTGTAACTGGCGGCTTTGACTTCCAGCCCATGTTTTACAAAGGAATGTTCCCCCAGGGTGGAGGATGTCTGGGGTCATGCCCAGAAAGGACAGGCACAGGCTGATGAGCCTGTCGTGATCGAGGTCCCGGACCCCTGTGGCATTGGGCGCCATGTCGCTCAGAATCACATCTGCTCTCCGGCCAGGAAGCAGCTCTAGGATTCTCTGTGAGGTTCCTGGGTCAGTCACATCAGCAGGACACAGAAAAGTTGCTCCTTCCAGGGGGCATATGTGAAGAAGATCCACCCCAAGCACGAAGCCAACAGGAGAGCTGAGATCTAAGGAAGAAATGGTGAATGTGTTACCTATTTATACTCTGAATCTTTTCACAAAAATATAGTACGTGCAACATAGTGATGAAATAAAAATAAAACGTTGGCCAAGGCAAAGAGCTAATGTGCAAATAAATGAACACAGCCCTTCTCTCACTATCTATACATCCCATAAAGACACAGTGGGGGAGGTAGGGCTGTTCTTAACATCTGAGAAGCTGAGACCTAGACAGGAAGTGACTATCCTAGAGTCAGCATCAGTGATGGGCAGACCTGTGCCAGATGCTAGGACTTCTAATTCCAAATCTGCTATCATTTCAGTACCCAAGGCCAGATCCGAGGACTTCTGATTCCAAATCTGCTATCATTTCAGTACCCAGGGCTCACTCTTTACGAAAGCGTTCTTATCTCTGAGTGGTCTTTTTTATAAACTAAAATGGAAAATAGACCAGGCGTAGTGGCTCACACCCGTAATCCCAGCACTTTGGGATGCTGAGGTGGGCAGATCACCTGAGGTTAGGAGTTCGAGACCAGCCTGGCCAACATGGTGAAACCCTGTCTCCACTAAAAATACAAAAATTAGTCATGCTTGGTGGCACGTGCCTATAGTCCCAGCTACTCGGGAGGCTGAGGCAGGAGAATCGCTGGAACCCAGGAGGTGGAGGTTGCAGTTAGCCAAGATTGGGCCACTGCAATCCAGCTTGGGTGACAGAGAAAGACTCCATCTCAAAAAAAAAAAAAAAAAAAAAAAAGACAAGAATATACTAGTACTTAAAGTGCCTCTGGTTTAAATAAATAAATCCATTATCCAGCTTAATCCAATTGCTTTCAATGTAGAAACTAATGGAAACAAGTCAAGATGGGGAAAATGAACAGATACAAAATAACGTACAAAAACTGATACTGGCTGCGTGCAGTGGTTCACACTAATAAATCCCGGCACTTTTTGAGGCTGAGGTGAGAGGACTGCTTGAGCCCAGGAGTTCCAGTCCAGCCTTGGCAACATAATGACATCCTGTCTCTATAAAAAACCATAAAAATTAGCTGGGTCTGGTGCCATGTGCCTATAGTCTCAGCTACTCGGGAGATCCAGCTAAAATGAGGCATGAGATGTCCCATTTTCCTGGGCTGAAGATTGAGGGTTTTCACCTTTGAAAAATGAGGTGCTCTTCAAAATACCTGGACTTCTAATGTTTAAGCCAGGAATGAAACACGAAGCCTTCCTCTCCCACCATTGGAACAGCCTTTCTGATAAGCAGACTGAACAAGAAAATCTGTGACTGTGCCCTTAGCTTATCAACTCTGACGTTTCTCAACAGAACCACGCCCCTCCTCAGTGGAGGGGACTGGAGAGATGGGGACACTGAGCTTGTGAAGAGGGGCTTTGAATGTAGGTACAGAGGGAGAAGGGGGGAGGTAGACACTGAGATCAGTTACGGGCAACAAGTCTTGTTTTAGGTAGGCGAAGCAATGGAATCTTTTTAGTTTTATAAGGGGTATTACCAAAATATCAGCAAGTTGGCCAGGCATGGTGGCTCATGCCTGTAATCCCAGCACTTTGGGAGCCTGAGATGGGCAGATCACGAGGTCAGGAGTTCAAGACCAGCCTGGCCAAGATGGTGTAACCCCGTCTCTACTAAAAATACAAAAAAAAAAAAAAAAATTAGCTGGGCGAGGTGGCACAGGCCTATAACCCCAGCTACTCAGGAGGCTGAGGCAGAGAACTGCTTGAACCTGGGAGGCAGAGGCTGCAGTGAGCTGAAATCATGCCACTGCACTCCAGCGTGGACACAAGAGTGAGACTCTGTCTCAAAAAACAAACAAACAAACAAGTATCAGCTTTGTGTGTGTGTATGAGACAGGGTCTCACTCCATTGCCTGGCCTCAGCTCACTGCTGCCTCAGCTTCCCCAGGGTCAAGCGACCCGTCCCACCTCAGCCTCCCAAGTAACTGGGACCACAGGCACATGCCACCACATCTGGCTAATTTTTTTTGTATTTTTTGTAGAGAGGGTTTCACCATGTTGTCCAGGCTGGTCTCGAACTCCTGACCTCAGGTGATCCTCCTACCTCAGCCTCCAAAAGTGCAGGGATTACAGGCATGAGCCACCGCACCTGGCCTCATCCCTCACTTTATGCTCCGGAGCTTTTGCTCCTGTAACATCCCACATGTTACAACCTTGGGAAGGTTCCATCGAAGGCGGCTTTGGCCACATGCTTGTGACTTCTGGGAGGAAAAGAACAGGCAGATCACCCCACGCGCTCTGCTTCTGTCACTTCCTCCTACAAGGCAAATTTTTTTGCTTCATCTTAAGAGCACTTAGGGGAAGAGAAACTACGGAAATCAGTTACTCAGAGGACTCCACAGTGATAAGCTCAGCAATAAGAAAAGGAACTGACATTTCCAACACAAATTCACTCATTTAGACAATAATTGTTGAGCTAAAAAAACAACAAAAAGGCTGTTCAGGACAAGTACGGTGGCTCATGCCTGTAATCCCAGCACCTTGGGAGGCTGAGGTGGGCGGATCACTTGAGGTCAGGAGTTCGAGACCAGCCTTGCCAAAATGACAAAACCCTGTCTCTACCAAAAATAGAAAAATTAGCTGGAGATCAATTGAACTCAGGAAATGGAGACTGCAGTGAGCCAAGATCACGCCATTGCACTCCAGCCTGGACAACAGTGTGAGCCTGTATCCCAAAAAAAAGAAAAAAAAAGGGGGTGGGTGCTGTTCAAAACCCCGAAGAGGCATATCCTGGCCTAAGTATCGGCAGGGACCACCCAGGAGATGCAGGTAGACACCAAGCGTTCATGGCAAACCTACAGCAAACCAGCAGTGAGGCTGACTTGCAGATCCAGGGGGCTAGCATTCCAGGTCTGCACTGTCAACAAATCACAAAACTCTTGAGCCTCAGTTTTCTCACCAATAAATGGGTACCAGTATCCCTACTGTAGGGAATCTGGGAATGCTCTGGGTGGACTGTCTTACCCTGTTCAAATGCCAGTGCATGTAGGTACCCTGGCTTGACAGCAGGAAACATCAATGGCAAGGATATTCATCACAGCACACGCATCCCAGCAAAAAGCCACAAGCAACCTTGATGCCCACGGTGAGGGAACTGGTAAAGAACCTAATGTACAAGCATATCATGGAATAGGGTGTAACTGTTCCCAATGATGACAGTTTCTTAAGTTGTATGGGTGGCTGGCTGATCTCATTTTTCAGGCGAATCTTTTTATATAGAAAATCTTACTCAAAACCCTAAGATATAAACAGATGAAAACTGTGTCTCAGCTTCACCCAGAGTGGAGAATCCATAGCCCTGGCCACGAAGCCTCTTCTAGGCTCCAGAGGCAGCAGCCCCAGTGGGGTCACCAGGAAGCCCTAAGGCTTACAGGACTTGGAAAGCTCTGGAGTCGATTCAGCTGTGCTGTTGGGGAGAGAGGTCAATATACCATTAAGAGCAGCCAGGCACAGTGGCTCACACCTGTAATCCCACCACTTTGGGAGGCTGAGGTGGGCAGATTGCCTGAGGTCAGGAGCTCAAGACCAGCCAGGCCAATATGATGAAACCCTGTCTCGACTAAAAAAAAAAAAAATTAGCTGGCTGTGGTGGCAGGTGCCTGTAATCCCAGGTACTCTGGAGGCTGAGGCAGGAGAATCATTTGCAGAGGTTGCAGTGAGGTGAGATCATGCCACGGCATCCAGCCTCATCAGCAACAGAACGAGACTCCATCTTGGGGAAGGGGAACCAAAAAAAAAAAAGAGTGAGTGAGTGTGTGTGTGTGTGTGTGTGTGTATTATTAAGCAAAAATAGCTCCATTAAGGCTGAAAATTAGCAAGAAGAGTATGGCCCGACATTGCTTTTGAACACGTGAGGGATCTATGCAAACACAGGCCTGGAAGGACACACACTGCCGTGCTGGAGCCATTACCTCCAGGAGGTATCATGTGAGGTCATCTCCATTTTCACTGCACCTTTCTACCTTGTCTTTCAGTTTGAAAATGGCAGGATCCTGTTTTTATCATTACTTTTACTAAACCACCAACTCGGAAGTGGGTGCTTTCAGAAAAGGGCTCAACCATCCCACATCCACTGGCAGAGGCAGCTTGCCTGTGCCCACTCAGCCTCAGGGTAGCCAGAAGGTGCCAACAGCCGTGCAGAGCTCCCACCTGTGCCTGTGGCATTGACCTTCCGCACCGCCACCTGACTCCAGGCCCCAGGAGCTGCCCCACAGTCTAACACCCGAAGGCCAGGCCGCAGAATCTGGTGCCTCTCATTCATCTCCAGGAGCTTGAAGGCGCTTCGACACCGATAACTCTCCACCTTCGCAGCCTTCACAAATGGGTCCCTAAGATGCCGAGCCAGCCACAGGTGCTCAGCACCTGTCCGATTCTTGCAGTGACTCCTGGCAGTGTGGAACCCTTTAGGCTGAAAGGAAGCACGCACCAGCTTCAAGAACCTGGTAGGAGAGAAGAGGAGCAGGCAGGTTGGCATCACACAGATCAGCAGGTCATGAGCTGGGAGGGCCCTCGGTTCAACTCATTCGTTTCTAGAGATGAGGCATCAAGACCCAGGAGGGGAGGTGAACTGACAAAGCAATACAGTCAGAAAGCAGGCATTGCAGGCCGAACTGTGTCCCCACAAAATTCATGTATTGATGTCCTAACCCTCAGTACCTTAGAATATGAGTGTATTTGGAGACAGGGCCCTTAAAGAGATGACCAAGTTAAAACAAGGTCATATTGGTAGGCCTTATTCCAACAGGACTAATGTCTTTATAAAAAGAGATTAGAGGCCAGGCATAGTGGCTCACACCTATATTCCCAGCACTTAGGGAGGCCAAGGCAGGTCTTGGATCATCTGAGGTCAGGAGTTCAAGACCAGCCTGGCCAACATGGTGAAATCTTGTCTCAGCTAAAATTAAAAAATTACAGGCATGGTGGCAGGCGTCTGTAATCCCAGCTACTCGGGAGGCTGAGGCAAGGGAATCGCCTGAAACCGGAAGTCAGAGGTTGCAGTGAGCCGAGATTGTGTCACTGCACTTCAGCCTAGGCAACAGAGCAAGGCTATGTCTCAAAAAATAAACTAATTAATTAAAGTAATATTCTTTTCTCATCTGGCAAAAAACGTTCATTGGGCTGTGAGAGACTGCAAGAAAACCTCCTAAGGACAGGTCCTTGCCTGAGTAACCTAGTTCCAGGGCTTTGGCAGCTGGCACAGACGATCTGGCCTGTCACATTTCGTTTTTTTTTTTTCTTGAGACATGGTCTCGCCCTATAGCCCAGACTGGAGTGTAGTGGCAAGGTCATGGCTCAACACAGACTTGAAGTCTTGGGCTCAAACAGTCCTCCCACCTACACGTCTTAAATAAAATTGAACTAAACCCGTGTGAATTGCTGAAGGACAATTTCCAAGATTCTCTGGACAAGCTGTGCTGTAACAATATATTCACAGCCCACAATAGCTAAGCAGGTAAAAGCTATACACACCTCCCCTGTTTAACTCTGAGTACAACCTCACCAAGTAAGTTCTATGCCCTTTCTTTTTTTTGAGACAGAGTTTCACTCTGTCACCCAGGTTAGAGTGCAGTGGTGGCTCACTACAACCTCCAGCTCCCGCGTTCAAGCAATTCTCCTGTCCCAGCTTCCCAAGTAGCTGGGATCACAGGCACCCACCACCACATCCAACTAATTTTTGTATTTTCAGCATAAATGGGTTTCACCATGTTGCCCAGGCTGGTCTCAAACTCCTGATCTCAGGTGATCCACCCACCTCAGCCTCCCAAAGTGCTGGGATTACAGGTGTTGAGCCACTGTACCTGGCCATTTTTCTTTTTGTGTTTTTAGACAGGGTTTTGCTGTCACCCAGGCTGGAGTGCAGTGGCACAATCACAGCTGCCTGCAGCCACAACCTCTGGGGCTCAAGAGAACCTCCCACCTCAGCCTCTTGAGTAGCTGGGACTACAGGTGTGTACCACCACTTCTGGCTAATTTTTCTATTTTCAGTAGAGATAGGGTTTCACCATGCTGGCCAAGGTGGTCTCCAACTCCTGACCTCGGGTGATTCGCCCACCTTGGCCTCCCAAAGTGCTGGGATTACAGGCATGAACCACCTCGTCCGGCCACTTTTTGGTTGTTTGGTTTTCAACAGGCAGAGTTTTGCTAACACCCAAGCTGGAGTGCAGTGTGGCAATCACAGCTGATTGCTGCTATAACCTCTGAGTCTCCAGTGAACCTCCCACCACCTCAAGCCTCCTGAGTAGCTGAGACTACAGGTATGCATTTCCATGCCTGGGCTTTTTTTTTTTTTTTTTTTTTTTTTTTTTTTTTTAGTTTTTAAAAACTTTTTTTAGAGATGGCATCTCACTATATTGCCTAGGCTGGTCTCGAACTCCTAAGCTCAAACGATCCTCCCGCCTCAGACTCCCAAAGTGCTGGGATGACAAGTGTGAGCCACCAAGCCCGATCTCCATGGCCATCTTCCTAATTAAAAAAAAAGTTACTACCCCCATGGCTCCAAAACCAAAGCTTCTAGCTTCTGCAACACCTAAGTGTGCCAACCAGCCAGGAGGCACTGACTGGTGACCATGAGTCGCTGTCTTCACCTGGCTGAAGAGGTCTCCCGGGAGAACGGCACAGGCCGGTCCACGGGGCGAGAGCACACTCGACAGCCCCGGAAGCGTGGGCACTGGAGCTACCCGGCCCACGAAAGGAACCCCCCGGCGCGGCCCCGGGCGCCTCGGATCCGGGCCCCGGCGCTGCT